GTTATTACAGCCTGTTGCTGCATAAAGCTCGGGCAAGTCTCATTTCAGTTTAATAGGCTAATACTCTCTGTTTTCTCCTCCAAAATACTTAAATAATGACAACATACAACAACAGCAATCGTTAAGCAATGAAACACATTTTGTTTAAGTTTCAAAGTTTAATTTATGGTTTGATGTATAAACCAGATCTCGTGAGATTGTCGCACTGAGACAGAGGAAGGTCTTGAACAAAGTAAATTTTCTCCTGATCTGTTGATCTGAAAAATGTCATTTTGATATCAGAATGTTCTGAAGACATGTGGCTTGTAAAAAATGGGACCAATATTTATTTTGGTGACTATGGAGCGAAAGAATCCGTCATAATCTGTGATCTTGTTCATTTCTCCCATTGGAGCGAACAGACTGAGACCTGCTTCTGGTCTCCTAAAGGGTGTGGTGGTGGGGGGGGGGTTAGGCCACTGAGATTGCTCATCATCATCAACAAGTACAAACAAGAAACCACAGAATTCATCTTTGCTGATGTTACTAAAGACGCACGTGGTAAAACACACACACACATGTACTTTACTTGGGGAACAGGACTGTAAGAGGTGGGGATGTGAAATCTGTTCAGTTTGAAAATGATCAAAATGAATAAGATACAACTTTGTCCATATGCAGAATGAAACTGAGGAAGATCCCTACAGGTGACTGGATTTTAGTCATTAGTCACTTTTATTTCACTATTTATTTTCATTTTTATGTCACTATTTTATTTACTTATTTTATTGTAATTATGTTCTAATGTATTGTATTTTATTCTATTTTATCTGTTCTTTAATTATTAAGTCTTTTAAAAATCAGTTTTTGTATGTCATTGTCAGGTTTCTTTTACTGGATTTGTCCATTTCTTTTTAGCTTATCATTTCTCTGGGAAGTACTTTGAACTGCACTAACCTGCATGAAAAGTGCTATACAAATAAAGTTTGATTGATTGATTGACTTACTGAAGTCACACTGTGCCACAACAGGTTAGGTGAGTATCACACTGTGCGAGAGGCGGCTAACAAAAACTTGTAGACAATGTGATGAATATATGACTTCAACTTCTGTTTGAAAATGCAGCAAAGCAATAAACTGTGGCCATGCTGACACAACTATGCATTAAAACACTGAAAACAGGAGGAGGACAGGGACAGCGAACATCTTTTTAATTGAGTCTCCATGACAAAACTATTCTTATGAAATGCTGTGTCAGTCAGTTTGCCCACTGCGTGTCTTAACAATGTGGTCTAGGGTCACCATTTTTGACTGATGACAAAGATTACACCACCTTAATTATTATTAAGCTTCAGTATCAAAATAACCTCAACTCAACTAGAAATCTAAATTAGTTTATTTATCCGTCAGGAACTTCAATAGTGTAAAAGTGTCAATGCAAACATACGGAAGCCGAGAAACGATATAAATATATATTCACAAATATTTCTTTATCCCGTTATCTCAAGATAACAAAGCTCGTTATCCAGACATGATGAGATATTATCCGCAGAAAACAATTTGGGCTGAACCTCTTACACTAAGTCGCAGTAACCAGTGCTGTGCCAGTTCACAATTAAAAAGAATTACCTCAAAGTTCAGTTCATACAGATGAAAATGAACTAGTTCATGTTCATAGTTCATTTTTTTAAGTTTTGAACTAACTTCACACTTCCAAAAAGGAACTAGTTCACGTTCATTTGTTCTGTTTTTTAAAAATAAATAGGCCGATCGATATTCTTTTTCAATAGAACCTCCTTCTACCTGTCCACCAGCAGCCCCAAATCACTGCCACTCCCAAACTAAATCAATTATTGTACACCACTGAAGAATCACAGATATTAGTTAGATTTAAAACCTGTATATGAATATAATCCATCTGAGTCTTCACTTGTTTGCTCCTAAGGCTGCTGCAAATGCTCAACTGGCTTCAGCAGTAGTAGACCGTGCGCACCGTCTGCACCGTCTGTACCGTCTGCACTGTCTGTACCGTCTGTACTGTCTGTGCCGTCTGCACCGTCTGTACTATCTGTACTGTCTGCACCGTCTGTGCCGTCTGCACCGTCTGCACCGTCTGTACCGTCTGTACGGTCTGTACCGTCTGTACTGTCTGTACCGTCTGTACCGTCTGCACCGTCTGTACCGTCTGTACCGTCTGCATCGTCTGTACTGTCTGTACCTCTACCACCAGCCAAGCTTGGCCGTGTCTATGGAGACGTCATGCGGCGTGCTGTAAAACTGTCGTAAAACGTGAGCTCGCGTTCACGTTCATCATTTGTAAACTGATTTGTTCAGTTCAGTGTTCACAAAAAATATGAATGTGTTCAATGAACGATCATGCACAACACTGGCAGTAACACTCCTCCTTAGCAACAATCTTTGAGACTCGTTAGCTGACGAGGACTGATTTGAAAATGATCTTGTATGACACAGCGTGATTTCTGCCTTTAATTGAATCATTCTCTGATGCATTGGTCAATCTGTAGTCTTGACATTTTCAGTTTACAGCTCTACTACTAATACTAAGTTTCCGTCTGCATACTGGCTTGGCACATCTGAGCTCTGACTAACAAAATCATATAATGAGAAAAAATGAGGAATGTGTTATCTCCAGATAACGGGACAATTATCTCGTTAAATCAGGATAACAAAAAATAGTTTTCTCTGGATAATATGTCATTATCTCGACATAATGAGCTTTGTTATCTTGAGATAACGGGATGAAGAAATATTTATGAGTATGGCCTTTCTCAGCTTCCGTACAAACACAGCACATAGTTGGAAAAAGGAAAAACACAGAGTAGATGAAGTTCAGCTTAGCTAGTGTAAAACAGTTAAAGATGTTAAGTGTGGTTAAAATAGTCCGTGGCTAAATAGTCTTCGGTGAGTTGAGTCAGTGAGGTCAAGTCCTGAATATGAGTGACTTGTATCTGCAGCCTGAAGGTAGATGTCTGTATGGGTTGTGTAGTCTGTGTGTAGTATCTGAGGCTATTTCTTTACCTTTCATCTAACAAGATTTTTATAAACTGAAGTTAAGATTTATCACTTCACCTCTTTCTGCTTTTGTGTGAACCTGCAGCTTTAAATGTATTTTAGTAACATTTGTACATATGACTTTACTCCAGTTGTTGTACATGTGGTGTCTCTATGAAAACCCCAAATCTCAAAGTATTTCTATTTTGGTTCCATGAAACTGTTCTGATTTTAGCTACGAGACCATATAATAACTCTAGAGGGTCTGGACACACATCACAGCCTCAGGATCATGTGATCAGGAAAACCACAGCAACTGGAGGTGAGAGGTTTTTATTAGACAGCTGTGTTGTGTTTCTCCTTCTGCCTGACCTCACAGGGTTTCAAAAAACTTGTCTTATCACTGACTGATTCATTTATCATCTCTAGTGTGTATTCTAACGTTTGAATTTTTCTTTTAGATCCTGATACAAGTTACACGTCTCCTCTGTGTCAGCTCAGACTAGTAATATGTTGCAGTAGAACCGTCGCCTCCACCAACCACTCAGGGGTTAATCAACATGTGAATTCTTGATTTAAGGCAGAAAACTATCAACTGTGAATAAATATGGTCGTAGCCTCTGCGACGTCAACCACAGGTTTCTGAAGAGCGGTTAGGAGCTAAAGAGACTAAAAATATTTTATGTACAAGGCTGTAAATATTTATTTCAACGGTATTTATGCCGTCATTAGAGGAGCTGCAGTTTTTAGCACTTCAGTGTTGGCTTCATTTTTCATCCTTGGAGGTTGATGCTTGACAAAAATGTGTTTTGTGAGGTCACTGCAATCTTGACCTTTGACCATCAAATCAAATAAATTCATCTTTGAGTCCATGTGAATGTTTGTACCAAATTTGAAGAAATTCCCTCAAAGTGTTCCTGAGATTAGCCTTACAGTTACATTTTAGCTAACTAATGTGAGCCAATTTCAAATTTTTGCCTTAAAGGTGCGACGTGTAAGATTATAGTTTATATATAGATTGATAACAGTATCAATAGTATGTGAAGGAGCCACAGTGATGATGTCATGCTGCTGTAGCCTGACATCCATGTGTCATGCAGTATCCCCTTGCCTTCATATTTTTATAGGTAAATAAAAACATACTGTTTGTTCTACAAATAATCATAATTTGTTTCAGTGCTAACAACAAATTTAACTATCAACAGTGAATGCACATATAAATAATGAATTATAAGGAACATGGGGAAAACAACAACATGATTAACTGGACAGGGGCGAAAAGGTGAAATGCTGCCCCCTATGGAGGTGGAGCAAGTAGCACCATCTTACACATTACACCTTTAAGTTACAGTTTCGCTAACTGATGTTAGCTAGCTGATAGTGACAATACGTCAATGATTATGTTAGCTGTTTTTTTTTTAACTTTAGCCTTGAGTTACAGTTAAGCTAGCTGATATTTGTTCGCAATATCACACAAACATAATACAAATTAAATAATACAGAAATGTAGTTGAATCTTAATCACTTAGCAGGCCTGCTAAAATATCATTTTGAGTTTATTCTCACGTGAGAAATAAAATCCACTGCAGACACAACACAGTTTACAGGTTCTCGTATCATTGGACGGACTAAAAAGAGACTCAGCAGAACTTCAGTAAACAGAAACATCTTTAATTCATAAAGGATTTACAATATCTTACATATGACAAACTGTATGTAAAGCAGGGTAAAAGACCTTTTGCGCCTTCCTCAGTTTTCTGTAGCTACAGACAGAAAACATAGAAACTGTTTTAAAAAAATACATCTCTGTTACGTCTTCAATCTCAAAGATAAGTAGAAGGATTCACGTTCCCTTTTTGTCACGTATGTACAGTGACTGTCACTATGTACACTGTGCTTGTTTATCTGGCAAACAAGGTTTAAGAATAGCTGATTAAAAATGACACAAGCACACACGTTCTCCTCGCACACACGTTCTCCTCACACACACGCACACACACACGCACGCACGCATGCACACACACAAACATAGACACAGACACACATACATACACACACACACACACACACACACACATACACACCTTTAGTTTCCTGCTGGTGAGGGTGGAGGCCACAGCATCATTAGTGTTAAGGCAACGTCTGTTCAAACTTTGGCTCAAAGTCGGATACACAAAGGCACTTTAAGGCAAAAGCTTTCATAACTCCAACACATCAGAACACATGAAGGCATCACAATGACACACACCTGTAATGCTTAAGTAACAAATGGTAAAGTGCACATTAAATGTCTTTGGTTTAATAGTAATGTCTCCATGCTCAGTTCATCTTTGGAAGCTTCCAGTTAACTCTGGCTGTTTGGCTCTTGAGTCTTCTCAGCTGATTAAGGCGAGTTGTTATTATTTTCGAGGTGAAGTCCAGAAGCGTCACACAGAGTTTATCTTTGCTGGGTTTGAATTAGATGTGACACCGTGGCTCAAAGTCCTGCAAGAGCTCAGCTCCTGAATATCACGTTTGAGTAGAATAAGTGCCCGTGTTGAAAGGTCTCCATGACAGCGTGGAGCCTAATCTCACTTCTCGTCGCTCACAGAGCAGTCCACAGCGATGATCTCCTGGATTTCTGTGATTTTCACCTCCTTCTCCGGGATCTCCACCTCCACCGGGATCTTCAGCTCCTCTGGGATCTTCTCTGCTGACGAGCTGCGGCTGGAGAGTTTGTCCATCTCGTCTTCCATCTCCGAGATGCGCTCGGCGACGCAGTGGGCTGTGAGTCGGGCCTCGGGGTCGTGGTCCCAGCATTCCTTTATGGTGGCACAGATCACCGCCACTCCCTGTGATGACAGGAGGAGAGAAGCAATATGAGACTCTGACATCGCAGGACCAATTTTAACAGGGAGTGAACATGAAGGCAGATGCCTGATCAATGGCAGCAGCATCTGTCCTCCATCTTTAATGAAGCCTTTAAAAAAATAATGAAAATAAAATAACTGTGTGCATATTCATGATTTCTTATCATTCAATATTTTCTAGTATAAACAATAGATAAAATTATGTTTTAGCCTCTTGTAGCTTTGTTTTGGCCATTAACCAGCTCCAGTGTTAACATCCATATGATGTTTTTTATATAATGTAAGACGTATGATGAGTGAAATAATCAGTATTTCCACCTTGAACTGTAGTGAACCAATGACAGTCTCATAAAAACAGATTCAGGGTTTCATACGTCACAAACCTCAGGAACCAATCCTGTAAACTTGTGGGGACGGGGGGCGGGGCTAAATAAACCTGAAACCTTGTGAGAGTTTGCATTAGCACAACCACTAACACTGTGTCAGCCAGTGCCGTACTGTTACAAGCTAACAAGCAACATAAACAAATAAAAGATGCTAACTACGCTAACCGCTCTGACCCGTCTGCTAGTCTCTGGTTCTGGTCTCAGACTCCTCCTCTGAGTCTGGGTCTGACTGAGGCTCAAACATGAGGCTGAGTCTCACTGATGTTTCCTCCTCTAACCATCTTGATGCTCTCTGCTCTTAGTTTAGTTCAGTTTTTTCACACAGAATTATCAGTAACCATGGATATGTGTGCGTGTGTTCCTTCAGTATGTTCGGGTGTGTGTCTGACCTGGTGCCTGAGCCAGGAGTCAGGGATCTCAGGTCTGCCTCGGTCTCTCAGCACGTTGTCCTTCATGCTCTCCACACAGGGGTGCTCTCGCACTTTAGAGCCATACGCCGGTTCGTAGTCCTTCACCTCTGCAAACACAAACACAAACACAACCAAACACAAGTCATCACCTGAGTCTTTCCTTGCTGTCATGTTGTCTGTGGCGGGTACATAGAAACAACAACATATAGAGGAGTTCAGTTTAGTTTCAGGGTTTATGACTGTGAAAATTTTAAGAACAAAACACATGAAAGAGGAAGACAGAGTGAGACAGGTGGCCTGTGGAGTTAATGTGATTAGAAAGTGTAAAAGCTTTCTTGTATGATGTCATCCACCCAGACCACTGAGCTGTCAGCTTTGTAAACTGGCACCGCTGATGCCGACAGTGAAATAAAATGTTTTCTCCACGGGAAAGGAAAAGCTCGCTTTGGCGCTTGGATGATGATCATTTCTAAAAACAACAGATCAGCTTCCGCTAACAAGCAATTACTCACGACCTCAGACTGTGCACAACACCAAGCACAATCTGTCTTTTTCTTTTTTTTTTTTCTTATAACGATTTCATGTTGAAGAACCAGCAGAGAAAAAGAGAGAGCGCAACGTCAAAACCATGAGAAATGAAAAACAAAGTTCTGGGACTGGGTCCAGACCTCATGAAACCGAACTCACAACAGCTGCAGTCGGTCTCTCTCTCTCTCTCTCTCTCTCTCTCTCTCTCTCTCTCTCTCTCTCTCTCAGGATCTCACAGTTGCTGTGAAACGAGACACTCGCTGCTGCAGAGTCATCTTCATTTAGCAAGGAAATCATCCGCAAATGTTTAACAAAAATGAAGTGTGATGCACCTGATCTTGTTCTTACATTTAACAACTTCTGCACCTTATTTTACAACCTGTCAGTGTCATTCACTGTGTGCACAGTTTTTTGTTTTTTTATTATATTTTATATTTGGCAGCATCCAAGTTTTTCTCTGGACTTGCTCACCGAAATGAAATGTTTAATATCCACTTTCAAGACAAATGATCGCTGCAGCACTAGAAGACTCCTCTGACAGCAACAAGTGGTCCAGTCCTTCCACCTGTGCTCTCAACATGTGACTGAACAGTTTCACTAACATGTGATCTGATAAACAAACTGAGTTTTCCTCCAATTAAATCAAATTTCAACAAGTAGTCTTCAAACTGATGTTTGGAAGTAGTAGCTGTTGTAGAGTTTAATGTCTAAAGTTTTTACTTCTAAGGCCAAGTTAGCAAGTGTTCTCTGAGCACTTTAAGGATGTTTGTGTTTCAATATACAATCCCGAGGCAAGCGGACAAACTCCACCTGCAGATGCTGACCTAATTTCCATGTCGACAAGTGGGCAACAATCGTGGTCACCTATTACGAGTGTCATTTCCGGTGAGTGCATAACAACAGTGTTTGATTTAAGACACTACCCTGTTGAACTTCACACACTGTGTCAGTGGGTTTGCTGTGTACACAGCGTAAGCATGCGAGTGTACTGACTGAAGTTTCTGATTTCAACAGTCTTCTCCATAACCTGCCTCTGATTAGCTTAAATACTTGTCACTGTTTGTGCTAATTAGCAGGACAGTATGATGAACTCTAGGAAAAGCTGCGGTAGTTTCTTATGAACCAGGTCCCTGTGGTCTCTGCCACTGTGTCCTCAAACACAGGAAGTGGGAAGGTTGGAGTGGAACCCCCGGACAGGAAGTTGGAGGGCTGGGATTGAGACTGTTTGCGGAGAAGCTGACTCTACAGGGCCACATTTCCTGTTTTTGACATGTGGAACTTCCCCCCTTTTTAGTGTTTTAAAACAGGACCCAGCCAGGCCTGGCCCATTCCCCTGGAGCTTATTTATGCCAGGCCTGGTAATGTGCTCAGCTCTCTGCTGTTTAGACCTGGAGCAGCGGAGCTGGTGTAAATACCACACACTCCCCTGGACTCAGCAGAGGCGCAGAGCAGCAGAGAGCAGGCTGAAAACAGAAATAAAAAAGACTGAGAGGAACAGGTCTGATATGGATTTGACTCTTATATTATCTTCATAAGGATTATATGTGAGACAGACAAATACTACCACTGCAGTCTGTATGAGAGGTGCGGCCTGCTCTCCTTCTCTTGACATTTGAAAGCTATGAAAAGAATTTCATCTGTGGTTTGAGAACAGATTTCACTAGAGACTGCAACCAGAGTCTCAGTCTCACTTTTCCCTCGCTGTCTGGGGCCCATAGTTAAAACCCTGGTATATCCAATCTAAGGGGGGGGAAAGCGGTTTACGACAGTTTCCTTTTCAGATTATCTGTCTGAAACCTTTGTGGCCTGGAGGTTAGCACAGGCCTCTGTGGCTGGCTGCCCTGTCTGGGATTTACTATCTTAGGAGAAACACAGCTCCATGTTTGGCGCTCGAGAGACTCTCAACAGGCGTATAACATGAGCCTGATCCCACAACGCAGAGCAAACTGCATCACAAGAAATAAACCTGCGTGGTCTCTGATACACCACAGGCTTATCAAAACAAAACCCTCTCTCCATCCGAAGCATCCGCCCATCTCCAGAGAAAGTTGTGGGCTGAATTCCTGCAGCAGGTTTTGTGGTGAGCACATTAGGGAGCTGTGAAAATTAAACGTCAGGACCACAGGTGGCGTTTTGACGGAGCTTAAAGAGGCTAAAATAAGAGAGGGAGACACCTCCGCTGCAAGCGGGTTGATCTAGATCCATGCATGTCTGGGCCTGAACATTACCCACTACAGTTGCTGCATCAATGACTCCACTCTCCTTTATCTGCAAAGACACCTGATAAACAGCCGGTCACCAAAATCATCTGCTTTACAATACAATAATAATAATGCAAGTAAATAACATCCAAAACTTTAACAGTATAAAATAATTTTAAATAGTTACAACAAGAAGGCTACCAACAGTTAAACACAAGCCAGACAATATATAAGTGAATCTTAAGAAAAGATTTAAAGGTCCCATACAGTCTAAAGGCAGATGTCCATGTGTAGTGTGATTATAGATCAGGTCTAGGTTCTATATTAATACTGTGAAAGTATCAAAGCCTCAGTCCACAGAGAAATGCACACAGCCTGTATTCAGAAACTGAGCCTTAAAACCAGCCGTCAGGACTTCTGTAACTTTGTGATGTCACAACAAAGCAGTCACCGCCCTCAGCCATGCCCCAAGCACCGCCCACTTGGACCCATCATCCAGCCTTGCTGGATTTGGTTTTTCACTGACCTGTTGTTACTACAGCTCCTGAGAGAGGAGATGTAAAACTACACTGAGATGGTTTTTGGTTCTTAAAACGACAAATATATCTTCTTATGGATCAACACTTCTAATAAAACACAGAAGTGGAGGAAAATGTGGAGTTTTATTATATTTTACAAATGCTGGTTGGAATTTTATGATCTTTTTACAAGGCAAGGTTATTTCCATTCTAAGACGAGTTAAACTAATCATCTTCCAGCACCAGCTAACTTCAACACTGTCATAAGAGGGGTTTAGCAGCAAATAAATGCATTTCTAGAAAATGTTGAACTATTCTTTTTGCCCTCTGTCTCTCAACCTTTGCCCCAGAAGGGTAAAACCATCACCATCCCCAGCGGCTGTCTCCCTTCGTGGACTACGAAGCTTCTGCACAGCACAGTTCAAACCCTTCACCCCACTCCGTGACCCTGCGTCGCCCTCAGTTCAGACAGAACATGCAGGACCTGCCGCGCCCTGCGGGCTAATTCAGGACATGTACATAAAATGCTCAGAGACACACAGAGCGTGTACTATAATTGACCACAACAACAACACCAGCATAGGGTGGTATTTCTGTCTCCTGATGGTGGAGTGGAGACAGAGGAAACACACACAGTCCCAAAGTGAGACACAGAAACAGAGCTGTATGTGTGTGTCTGTCTCTACCTCTCTGAAATAAACACAAAGACAAACACACATGCTGGAATGTGACTGTCTCGTTCTAAATGTCTCAGACTGTCTAGAAAAGAGAAGGAGGTGGATCAGAGCGACTACCTGCTCTCAGCAGAGGAGAAGAGGAGGCGTCTGGGGGGTGCGACTCTATCTTTGAGTTTTTAAAGAATGAGGACATTTTTGGAAAGTGAAATTGTTTTGTTTAGTCCAGTCGGTTGTTTGATGGTTACAACCTGGTTTTTGAGTTGAAAAAGAGGTTTGGATTTTTTTTAATCATATGATCGAACTAACCATAGATAGAGTGTTTTATGCCAGATTTCATTGACTGTATTAATCGACATTGACATAGACGTATTTCATTAAAGTGACAGTGGGCACCATCATGAAAGCAAAACATAAATTACTCCCTCTTGTTTGTTCTGAAAGGAGAACACAGGACAAGTGATTTATAAAGAGCACATGTGTATGCTGTGACATTTAATTTCAGGTGGACGTGGAAGATGCAGTCATTAGCATGTCTGGCTAACTAGCTTAGTCTGCTATGCAGTGGAAACTGTGGGGTCAAATAGTACAACAACAAGTAATGACATTAGTTTGTAACCTGACACAGACCCATGTGGGAAGGCTTCACTGGAAACTGAAGGTGCTCTCAAAAAAAAAAAAAAAGACTGGATGATCACAGACTAACTTCAACCAATCAGATTCTGCATCCTTCCCTTTTTTTTTCACTACCAGCAAAACATCTTTTCCATATAGAAAAGTCTTCAGTGTCGTTCCCTGCTCTTCTTTCAATGAAGAAATACTCTCATCATAGGTCTGGTGAACCTTAAGAGCCATTGTTGTTAACTAACAGTTGCTTATTGCAGTCGTCACACCAAGACACGCCTCTAACTGCCAGTAGCCCCTCCCTCAAAGGACGCTGATTGGTAACTGTGGTTTGGCCACAAGTGAATAACTTGGAACCTGGAAACATGGATCCTGGCTTGTGAGAAATCCAGCTGCCTATCAAGGTTAATGAGTTTGGTTAAGTTAAAAAAACATCTGTGCACGACTAGCATCCACTGTGTGGAGGAACGGATCCTATCAGTTAGCTTAGACTTACGTTGGCTATGTAGCAATAGCAAACTTACATATGGCTCCTTTCAGGCTCCTGAGCATAGACACTCATACACACTCGCACACACATGCACAGCCAGCTGACACAGGTACAGTGTCCACCCCAGATCTCTCACTGATTTCCTGCCCAAAGAAGGGCAACAGCAGAGTCCAGATTGCCTCCCTCACGTATGAGACATTCCTGAGATTCCTGCTGCAGACCTGGAGCTGAGGTCGAGGTTCAGTCCGACAGACAAGACCATCAGCCTCCCTGCTGACACACAACCCTCCCTCACTGCACAACAAGAGACGGTGGCCTGAACCTGTCTGCACCATGTAGGCCACGAGCACACACCCACATACAGCAGATACACACTGTTAGTGCATGTAGGCAGTGGTTGTGTATGAACATGCACAATCGGATACATGTTTGAGCATTAGAGCAGAGAGTAAACTAAACTTTGAATCTGAGATCTTCCACATTAGTGGAAGAGAAAACATTTTCATGAATACAGACAAGATCCTGACAAACTGATGTGACCCACATTATCTCTTTCTATATCTGTCTGTTATGCATTTCTCTCTGCCTATATTTATATTCATCATGTTTGTTGTAACTAAATCTAAAACATCGGCATGTTTTCTCTTTAAGATTCATCTTAATATTCTACTTTCTACATTTATCTATTGATTGATCACTGTAAATCTGATCTAAAAGTATCATCCAGTCTGAAGCAAGGACTAAAGAACAAACAACAGACAAGATGACGTCAGTTATTTTACATTAGTCTTGTTAATAAAAACAAAGAAAAAACAAAGATAAAACTGACATAAGTTACTAATGAAGGTAAATTAAGTGTTTATTTTTGTTCCATCTGTGTAACCAAAAACACTACAACAAAAATCCCTTGAAGAATTGAAGTGCATTTCAGAATATTGATTTAAAGCTGCTTTAACAAATACTTGTTAACAGTGTGTCAAATCACTGTGTCGTGAAAGATATTGCTCCTATTGACGAACCATCAGAGGATTACTGTTAGCTCTACACACTGTTTTAGCTCCTTTCAGTTCATTGTTTTGGTTTTACGTCGTGTAACGTTACAGTTTTGGTCACATCCTGCACAAGTCATTCTGTTTTCAGCAGCAGCAGCTACTGTTTTAGCTGGTGAACATAGTGGAGCACACACAGTAGATCCCTCAGGACTCCCTGAGACCCATTATTAGGCAATCGTTTCCTTATATTTCTTTTCCTTATAATTATCCCATAACATAACATAATATCTTATGTATCTCGTTGAAGTTTCCCGCAGGAGGCCAAAAATTAATTAATGTAGGTTTAAGAATAAAAACTAAAATTGATGAATGAAAAATTATATTAGTTATAGCAACTGTAAACTTTTAATTTTTTTTTAACTTTGGTGCCCTCTAGTGGCAGGAAGTGAGGACACTGCAGAGACTTCCTCCATTTGTCACAGGGCTTGTCTCATTTTTCCACAAACAAAAACTTATGCTATTAAATGTATCCTGATTATTTTTTTCTAAAAGCATAGCCCCAAAAATATTATACTGTTTTTCCTTGTAAGTACAATGTAAATAATGTCTTAAGGAAGTTTGAGGGCTCTGTGTAAAAGAAGGCTCCGGGAAATATTTCCTTAAGATGTTTCATGCACTGAAATGAAGGGAGTTAATTACCCAAATGAACTGATGTCATGTTTATGTTTATCACATCAGACTGCAGATGTTATACTTTCACATGCTGCCTCCACTGCTATTGCAACACACACTTTCACTGTGACAAAAAAATCCTACACACTGCGCGGAGCTCCAAGATGACATTAGTTTATCTGCGGGGCTTCATGTGATCACTCATGGTGTGTGTTGTCTCTGTTGAGTCATTGTAGTGGTTGACACATCACCTCAGCCGGATATGCTTTGTTATCAATGTGAGTGTGTGCTCATGTGTTACATGACGTCTCACTTCCCACAGCCTGAAACATGTAATTACTGAATACGTGTGTTTGTGGTATGTGTGTGTGTATGTGTGTGTGTGTGTGTGTGGGTGCGCTGACCTCCTATAGCTTCACACCTCGATGTCATCTCCCACAGCACCAGGGCCATGGAATAAATGTCGGTCTGTTTGAAGGACTCGATGTTCTCCAGGTTGAGTCGGGCCTCCAGCACCTCCGGAGCCATGTAACGTGCTGTACCCACCTGCAGAGACAGGAGACAGGAGACAGGAGACAGGGGACAGGAGACAGGAGACAGGGGACAGGAGACAGGGGACAGGAGACAGGAGACAGGAGACAGGAGACAGGGTTAACACAGGGTCACTGCAGCACAAATTACCACCACAGTAAACATTACATCAGTCTCCATGAGTGTGTTGTTCACTTTCTCTCATTGTCTGGATTATGCTGTTTCAACAATCAGTAAAAACACACACCTGACTCACCTGCTGGATTAGTTCAGTAGTGGATGAAATACTGGACCAGATACAAGACTACACCTGTGACATGTTTCCTTTTCTGTTATTCAACTGTCTGACATGTGGAATCAAATTACAGCTGAGCTACGACATCTAAAGTTTCCATGTTGCTGTTGCTGTTGCAGTCTGGTTGTCCCAAGTCAAGACTAATAAGTCCCCAAGTTAAGATCACTGGATCCCAATTCATGACCAATCAGGTCAAAATCAAGACAAGGTTCAAGATCATCAGGTCCCAGAAAAAAGTCCCAGACATGAGACCAATAAATTCCAAGTCAGCATCAACAAGTCCAAAGTCATGTCTCAACTCAAGACCACAAACTTCCAAGTCAAGGAGTCCATCGCTGGGGCACCTCAGTGGTTCAACTGGTAGAGTGTGTACCATTAAGACTTAGTCCAACGTCATGTCTCAACTCAAGGCCAATATGCCTCAAATATAATAAGTCCCAAGTCAAGTCCCAAGTGAAAACCAACCAGTACCAAGACCTGACAGGTTTACCACATCCCTCCAACACATATACTTTAATAAGACATTGGGTTTTTAGTATTGCATAACTTCAAATCTATCAAAATACTGGTAACTAGTTAATCACACAAAGCCAAACAAGCTTGCTGACATAATATCTAATGCTCCACATGGAACACATTTTGTATGCATGGCACAGAAAGTTGTGTGGATGTCCGTGTTTCTTCAGATTTTTCCGAGCTGGACCACGTGAACACGCACAGGAGTTATAATTACAACCAGCTGGAGATTTCCAGCCTCCATTTGTAAACGAACAAATCCTGTGATCCTAACCCTAACCCTCTGCATTTTGCTTGGTTTGTGTGCGTAGGTGTGTGCTGTTAGCTTTCACCTGTAGCTGCTGCATTTCTAACCAGTGAATCATAAACAAGAAGTCACCAGGTCTCACTGACAGCGTGAGAGTGAGCCGAGAGCTTGCATGTCACAACAAAGCCTTTATTTCTCCCTTCATCCCCCTGATTGTGTGTCTGTCTCTGTCAGATTGGTTCTGTCAGCACAGAGGTGTGCACCGTCACAACACACTAACACACTCAGGGACTTATACTGAAGGAGGCAAAACAAACGTGGCCAGATATATCTCACCAAAAACCAAAACCAAAGTTGCTGTAATGCAGGGATTTGACGGTAAACAGAGCGTTACCATGGCAAAAGATAACAAACCCTCCACTTGTAGCAGCATATGAAACACCTGGCAGTGTGCGCTGAGGTTTGTAACCACTGTTAGCCAAGACTGACAGGAAGCCCAGGGCAGAGCTTTAGAGGAGCTAAAGTCACATTCAGTGATGGAAAGTAAGTAAGTGCTCAAGTACAATTGTGCACATTGTGAAATATTTTTACTGCTCTACATTTATCCACAGGCAGAAATTAAATGCTAAAACAGAAAAGAGCAAATCTTCTGATAAAAAAGGAAAACTAAACTAAAAATGATTCAGAGGTTGACCTCTGACCTGTCCACTGTTGGCGAGGTCGTCCACTGACAGGCTGCTGTCCAGACACAGTCCCAGGCCAAAGTCACACAGGCAGCACGTCAGGTCGTTCTTCACCAGGATGTTGGAGCTCTTTAGGTCACGGTGGACTATCGGCACCTGCAGGCACAACGTAGGTACGGTTGTCAATTTCAAAATAAAAGCATTGAAGTGGACAGTTAAAGAATAAACATGAAACAATTTGCAACCCTGCAAACAAATAACATATAAACACATTTTATAATGCAAAAGGTTTCCTTGAGTACATCCCTCAAAACTAAATTGTGAACTTATTATACAAGTTACTGAGAACTAATGGCTGTGTTTTTCCATTTAATTTGCTGGAGATATTTATGTAACCTCTACTCTTTTTTTGGTGTCTCCTTGACCTTTCACATAGCACCACCCTCAGGCAAAAATATCAGCTGTGTGCACAAGACATTTCAAAGTTCAACATCTAGAATGCAATGAGATCTGCTGAATACATTCATGCTCCCACGGTGACAAGTTTAAGACAATCTTTCTACTTTCAGCCCAACTGTTGTTAAAGCTCAAAGAACTGAAAAAAATGGCAGCAATAACGTACATATTTTGACAATATTGCAATGTAAATTAAATTAAGCAGTTAAATTAAAAGTTTATAGAATAACATGCAATAGAATACTCAACAATACAATAAGATAAAAAGAATTAAAATGATCAAATAAACCACAGAAACATAAATGAAAAACATTTTGGTAATGTTAATAAAATCATTAAAAATGAAGGAAGGAATGAAGCTCTAAAGATAAATCAGTGGTATAACATAATTCAGTGGCAGGTCCATGGACAGACATTCAGTACACACAGAGACCCAATGTCCTACCTTAGGGCGTCCACAGGGGAGACGGTCACTGTGGAGGTGGGCGACTCCTCGAGCCAGAGAGCTGCCCAGCACCTCCAGCTCCTCCCAGCTGATCACATGACGTGTGAGGTGCTCCTGCAGGGCATTGATTATTGGATTATTAGTAGCATAATGAGAGGGGGGAATTTCCAGTAGATTAATACTGAAACTATTGACTGAAAAAAAAAGGCTTGACTCAGGGGGCTGCAGTTTACAACATGGAGTCATACTGTCCCACCTGACAGTGGAGGTCTCACCTGTAGGTTTCCCCTAGGGTGGAAGGCAGTGATGAGCCAGTACTGCTTCTCCACCTTCCTCTCCTCAGCTGTCAGGAAGTGCAGGACGTTCTCATGCCGGAGGTCTGTGTTGGAGAAGATGTCCTTCTCGTTCTTCCAGGAAGCGTACTCCTCGTACGGGAAAATCTTCACAGCCACAGTCTCAAACTGATCTGATGTGGTCTGCTTCAGCTTAGCCTTGTATACCTGAGCAAAACGGCCTTTGCCCACCTGGGAGAGGATCAACAGTTATCATTTCAGTTGGAAAGGCAAAGCACAGAACAGGGCCATCAAACAAGTCTAAAATACTATTGTGTCTGTATGTACCAGCAGATCCAGCTCTATGGGCAGCGGCTCTGTGTTGTGGTTCAGGTTGTTGGCGTGCGTCGAGCTGCTGTCTGACCTGTCGTCATCCATCATGATAGCACAGGCATCGCTGCAGTCCAGCCCGCCGGCCCTTGGCTTGCGCTTCTTGATGCTGCTCTCCCACTCTTGGTTGAGCATGCGTCTCTGGTGGGCTCGGTACCAGTAGAACATTCCTGCAACCATGACCCCCATCGCCAACAGGGGCAGCAGGCTCACCAGGATCACAGACACCAACTGATCGTCCGGAGTTGGATCCACAACTGGAAAAGAAGACGCAGGAGGAAATAAATAAAAGGTGTAGAGCAAGTGGCCTACATGACCCGGAGCCTCACAAGCAGCAACACTGAAACACTGAAAAGAACACAAATGACGTTGGATTCAAGGTTCAGAATAAACTAGATCAACACATACCAACACAACATTTACAGCAGCCCAGAACTGTATTAGCTACTAGCAGATTATGAAATTCCTCCATCTATGAGCTAAACAGCTTGAGGTTCTTGATGACATTCAGACTGCCTGTGAACTGAATCATGAAAATTTGCTATGAAGAAGTTCATGATATGGCGTGTGATGATTGTGGTGAAGGCTGAAAACATGAGTCATGATTGTTTGCTGCCATGCTGTTTCTGTAGCTAGCAGTGCTAAATGTCTGAATAGGTGGGATTTTCCAAGCCTATCTGAGGCTGAGGCTGACGCTAATGTGGGCAGATGCAGTGGTTTTTGTAAACGCCAACATAGAGACAAAGCAGTGTTGAAGAACAGCAGCAGCAGTCATTTTGGGACTGTCAGGAGGCTAGTCATTCAAACTCAGCTTTCAGAATGGTAGCTGTCATGTAGCCTTCAACGTAGAAAACCGTAGATAGTGTTGATCCAGTAGATTAGCCTAGGTTGGTTTGAATTTACCAGAGAAGTGACAAGTTGGCCTAAATCTACATGTTGCTGGTCAAATAGTAGGCAGAGAGAACTTCAACACAAGAACTCTGTTCCTATAATACTTATAATTGATTTGGTAACACTTGATTAAACTGGTAGCACCAGCAAGTTTGGTTTAACGGTCCCATATAGTCTAAAGGTAGATGTCCATGTGTTGTTTGATTATAAAGCAGGTTTGTGATGTCACAACAAAGCAGTCATTGCCCTCAGCCATGCCCCAAGCCCCGCCCACCTGGACCCAATGTCCAACCATGCAGGATTTGGTTTTTATCTGAAATCTGCTACATTTTTATTTCATCACTCAGAAAACTATCAGCCAATCAGAAGAGAGGCTCAGAGCCTCCTCTCTTCTGATTGGCTCACTACCTGTTGTTAGTAGAGCTCCAGAGAGAAGCCTGAGAAGGAGATGTAAAACTACACTGATTGGTTGGTTAAAACCACAAATATATCTTCTTATGGATCGACACTTCAAATAAAACACAGGAAAAGTGTAAAGTATAGGACCTTTAATACTACGGCAACGCCAAGTGAGCAGCTACTTTGTCAGAAATAAAACAGAAGAGCAGCTGGTGTTTCTGTTTCCAGCATAGCCAATCAAACTTGGGCTATTCTATTAAAGAAGTCAGTCAACAACTGACCCTTTTCCATCATGTCATGAACAACTGCCATCTGATTTCATGCTGCACACGTGGGTAATTGAGATGTTGGAGGTGTACACAAGGGAATGCTTGGTTTGTGTTAGCTGTAACTTAATATGGTTCAGATACAGATTAAGGAGAGTGAAAGTAAAGTGAGGCTGACATCAGAGAGATAAAACACCAACAATGGTTGCCTCATCCCTTCCTCTGAATCCCTCTGCTTACATGTGAAGGCAATTTGAATCCAGTACGGATAAGGTGGACCACACCACTAACAATGAAAACTACTATATTGTTATTCAAACAATGTCTGGATTCCATTTTTGCCTGTTTCATCCAACATCCATAAAAATTCTTTGGATACATCCCTCCTCTTTGGACAGAAGAAGCACCCTAACATTTCCACGGAAAAGGGATGGAAGTAAAGTCTTTGGAAGACATATAGGCTAATGTGTGTGTTTTGGGTGCTGCATGCAGGAGCAGCACACTGCAATTTCCTCCCACTACTCATACAGTAATAGTCCAACACAAATGAGCCCACCACAGGGAAGTCACTCTTGAAGCCTGTGCTATGAAAACAACATGCTGTTCCCTGCTCCACAGAGAGCTGTAAATCTTGTCCTTTCCATCATAACAATGACTTTGAAATATATTTATAAATGTGGATCTGTATCTGTTTGTGATCTCAGTAGAGAGCTGACTCTGAACTCAGTCAGTTGGCCTACGGTGGTCACTCCCAATAGCGTGAGCAGTCTTTATAGCTTTACGAGCTATAGCATTAACTACCTCCTCTGACTCTGACTGGCAGCCAGGACAGAGCGGCGGCCAACCCTCAGAGCTCCGGAGGCAGGGAGAAAACAGTCAAGGGCCTGTCTGCCTTGGCTCTGCTCAGCACGTCATGGTCTGCTCTGATGGGGCACCTTTCAAAGAGTGTTTCACTGCAGTCTCTCAGGGGAGAGAGGGATACCCTTCTGAGCAAAGCTGCCACATCGACAGGCTGGAGGCGCTCACACCAAGAACTGACCGCTGAAGAAGTCACACCACCCTGCATCTATTTAGCTTCCAGATTTTCACATACAGAGTGCTCATGACTGAGTGCTATAGAACCCTGAAGATGTATAAAAGGTTATCAGACAAGTCAAAACTATGACTGAATACAGCTAAAAATAAAAAAACAAACATCTCTAACAACTTTATTTGTGTCTTGATAGATTTGTGTATGCAACAACACAGTCAGAGGCTGCTGACACCATGAAGCAGCAAAGACTGAACTACTGCATTAACTTAACATATAGACAACCTTTGGCATGCCAATACATGCTTGTAAGCTTTCTTATAATGTGTGCAGTGATATTTGGAGCTATTTTGAACATCTTTGCCTAAAGCAGAAGTCTGCAGCCTTTACTGTTAAAACTGCCATTTTTGGCCCCTCTCCCACAAATAAAAATGATCTGAAGCCGCAAAACCTATTCGACCCTTAAAATGAAGATAACACAGCGTTAAAGTTTTATTTAAAGTTATACTACAGTATATATAAAAGAACTATGGTTTATTGCATTTATGAAATTCTAGAACTACAAAAAACTGTTGACATTTTATTGCTGTTTTTACCCGTTATAACAAAGGGAAACACTAAACTCTTATGAACAGGAGACACTGGTATGTGAATGCCTACTTTTAAATAAAGCACAGAACTATGCAGGCCTATTTGAGTCCTTCTCTTATTTGTGAAGGATTAAAAAAATAAAAAGTAACCCACTTTGAAATAAAACATATAGCTGCAGACTTTTCTTTTTTTGGATTTATCCATGGTTAGCTCACCGGGGGTCCGAAAACTCAAAATGAGCCGCCTTTGGCAGCAAGAAGAGGCGGCAGGCTGTTGCTATGGAGACGTTGTAAGATTTGACATATATTCTAGTCGACGAAATATTATCAGTATCGCCTCGAAAAGAAAAAATAAAAATAAAATAAAAAATAGCTGTTACATATTTTCATATTATTTTATTTTTTTCAAAGCGACAGGGAGCCACTGCAGAACGGCTGAAGAGCCACATGCGGCTCGAGAGCTGCAGATTGCCGAGCCCCGGCCTAAAATAACAGCTGTCATATGATTACGCAGCCTCATTAACTGTAAAGTATGTCTGATTCATATGCTTTAAACTCTGTCTCTTTAAAAAAGTGAATGTCTTGGAATCCATCATGTAGCCTGCTTGGGTGCTGTGTGATCATGCAATGGGATGAATAATATCTTCATTTTGTGGTTGGTTTTGTGATTGTTAAGCAGTAAATCTTACTGAAATTGCTTTGGGCAGAGCTGCGGATGGAATTAATCAGAAAGGACTGAACACAAACACATGCACAGATTTTTTGTAAAGTGGATTGTGAAATAATAAGACTTTGAGACAAACACAGTTCTCTCATTCCACATGTCTGTACATGTGTGTGCGCTTTAAGGGTTTTAAATTTGCCTGGAGGTTTTAGAGGTTTTAGAGGTTTTAGGTTTATTTCCTTGCTGTCTTTCTGCTATGATTGGAGTGCATAAGTGTGTGTATGTAGTCAACGTAAAACACAGCCAATGAGACGTTGCCAAGACAAACTGGTAATGGGACTCATGTTGCCTTTTCCAATCAGGATGCCAGAGTGTTCTCATGCAGCGTTCAATGAGGTTTGACACATCATTTGGACTAATAAAGAGATCCTCGCCTCTGGCTTACAGTCACTCACGTCATCAGTGTGTGTGTGTGTGTGTGTGTGTGTGTGTGTCTGTCTGTTTGTGTGTGTGTGTGTGTGTGTGCATTTCAGGATATGAATGGTGGGATTTCGAACGCTGCCATCTCTGACTCACTCCCTAAATGCTCTAACCAGTTGCTAATTACTTGGATCCTCACAGTGTTTTCTGTATAACAAAGTTGTATTGGGTACGAAAGAGGAACTATTTTCCTCGGAAAATGACACAGCCAGACGTGAGTTCATGTTTGAAACAGGTGATGGGTGGATAGATGTATGCCATTATAAATACAGAGAAGGCTGAAGTACATGTCCAGAAAGGCCAACACTGAGCCAGTTTGTTTAGTGTGCCAGCAAAACCCTTCTAATGAGACTTTACATATCATTATTCATGTTGACTGAACTGAACATTTCCATTCAAACCAGTAAGTATTTTAAGGTGTGATATTTAATTAATTATTCAGTCACATCATGGAGGAATGAAGGTTGTCCATTAATCTAGTATCGTCAAACATGAAATGAATAAAACCTGTAGTACTAACAACTCTACTAAATGCTGTGATAAACCAACAGTATGCTACCTGCTCAGAGACCGACAGTAAACAGGCAGACAGACAAAGCTGGTGAACTCTGTAGAGCTGACGAGGCAGTAACATATTTTCTTTTCCCAGAAGTTGGTGCACTGCTAAAATCTCTGAACTGTCTGAACAAGAATTTTACATTTATTTTTCATGTTCATATTTCATTTACAACATAATTTTCTTGGATATGAGTCACATTATTTATACTGTTAAGTGTTCCTCTAACCTGGTGCGTTATTAAAATCATTAATGCTTACATTACGAATGGACACAAAGCAGTTACATTAATGCACTTCATATTTAACATGACCAACAGTTTAGACACACATCTCAAGAAATAATAGAAGTAATGTGTGTTGTTAATGTACCCCAGTGCCC